CTCTCGGCGTCAGGCTCCTCAGCCTCACCTCCTGACTCGCGCGGGTGATCCAGGTAGACCTTGGTGGGAGGAGGCGTTCCGCCAAATTTTCAGGTTAGGTCTTATTTTCGGGGAGACAGGGTCTTTATATCTATAAACCGAGTTGGAAAGAGTAATGTAGTTTTACCATGCCTTGCGTCGTTCAATGTTAGTTGGAACACTGTTTATAACAATTTATTACGATCAGTCCTGTAGTAGCAAGATACTAATAGGATTAGTTAAGCAATCCGTGGGAACGGAGGAGACGTCTCCTGCCTACAGAAGCTTACTGTGCGGACTTTCTCTTGGTTCCAGAAAAAAAAAGGAAAGGTAACATAGATGTTTCGTTCACACCTCACCCTTCCAACAGGTTCTGAAAACCCGTAGCTGTGCGAAGAGACCATGAGTCGTTGGAGATTTAGAACTCAGCCCCAATCTTAAAAGTGTAGTTGCAAGTTCTCAGATCCTGAAACTAGGTTGGAAAGGAAGTGGCTTTTGCCTCCTCTGGGGGATGCGGTCCCTGTTCTGTTATTCCTCCACAAAGCTGCCAGTCTCCTGTCATGTGGAAATATCATCTTCCTTTTCTTTTGAAACAGTGGTTCAGAACTAGTGGGACACACCACCACCAATGAGGTGCAGAGTTTTCATGACAAGTTCTTACATACACCCATGCCCTTCAATTCCCATGCCCCTCTGCAGGTCCTGTGCCACAGATTATTGACCTTTTTGTCACATTAGTTGGAACTTGGGATCTTCAGTGTTTCTTCCCATTTTGCTCTTGACCACTAGCAACGGGGTGTTGATTCTTTGACAGAGTGACCCAGGGGATCTAACATCTGAAAGGTGGTGGGAACCATTGTTTCATAAGATTTCTAACAATATTGACAAAATCAATTGGATTTTTTGATGATTTCAATTTGTTAAATAATCAGTTTTTAAAATTTATTTAAATTGATTTTAAAAAAAATCCTGATTTTTATCCACCTGGCTAGTAAGTAGCACAATTGCTAATGACACAGCTAGATTAAAGCTGAAAGGTAGGCAAAGTGGCACCATAGCAACCTGTCGCAGCTGTGTGTTGTCATCATAGTGCCAAGTGGGTGGAACTTCCATCAAGGTGCCGCCTTGACTCCATTCGTGCTCTGTCAGAGAGAGTATGAGGTAACATGAATTTGAAGTGTGGAAAGAGAATGGAAAAAACTCATAAATTTCAGTAGTTACTAAGCTAATTACTTTCTGCATGTTCAGTTGTGATAATAATGTAATGATGTGCCATCAAGTCAATTCTGACTTATGGCAAACATTTTCAGGGTTTTCCAGGCAGAGAATACTCAGAAATGGATTACCCTTATTCTGGAGGCGTCCTGGGACTGT